CAGAGTTTATGTTGTGAAGTCAACAATAGGTAAAAGAACGTGCTTGCTATTGTGGGTATAAGATTGGGCCTGTAAAAGCAAAATAGTTGAATCCTGCTATGTTTGCAGGCATCACGTGGAACAGAACTACCTGAATCTGAAATAAGACTTCTGAATAATGTTTTATTGTAAGCAGAGCCAGGCTAGAATGCAGTGCTGTGTCAGTCCAGCACTTTCCAGAACATCCCAAGTATACTAAATATGTTTTATATTTATTACCTGCTGAATGAATCTGTTATAAAATCTAAATATATAAATGATCGTATAAAAAGGGGGATAAGGAAGAGAGATCTGCAAAAATACTACAGGCAGGTAAAGGGGTCCTAAGAAAAAGAACTGAACTTAGGAGATGTTACCACTAAAAGACAAAAATAGAAGACATTGATATCTTTTTCTTCAGTGTGTACTGTTCAATATTGTAGTAGTCCATGTATTTTCAAACTAATGCTGTATCACTGTTAGTGGCTACCTTAATTTTTGTTGTCAAGATGATTTTTATAAACAGGTAGTCACAGCTAATCTAAAAGCACCTCTGAATTCTGGGAACCAAGAGGAAAATCTGGCAGGTAACAGTAGTTTTCTGGAATTGCATATTTACATATGGGGGTGTAAACTTTATTATTAGTTTGCTCTACCAAACTGTAGATATTCCTTCATTTTTTTGAGGGCAGTTATTGCATTTTATCTAAAGCATATGACATTAAAATGACAGTTAACAGCTACGGATTTGGAAGTGCTTTGATCTAAAGAGAGGTGTGGGTTTTTTTACTGGGAATACATTGTGTGGGGTAAGAGATTATGTGACATGTTTAAAGAACTACATAGTTTTCAAATTCTAGGACGTTTAAAAAAAAGAAAAAAGAAGATAAATTTCACAACAGATTATGTCCTGCCTGTACTTGAAGAAAATATTAGTTTACTTTTAGAGTTAAAGAACTTCTTTGGAAATCAATAGGCTAATAATCCATTTTTCTTCAGTATGGTCTCATTTAAAACTCTGCTAAAGAAAGCAAAGGAAAAAAATCATATGGGCAAATTTAGAAGTTCACAAATGCCAAGTGGGAAGGCTTCACAACTGTTGTAAATTGGATGTTTGCACATTAGAGTGTGAATACTGATTTTAACCTTTCTGTGGGGAATTTTGTATGCTGTGTAATTGACAGGTGAGAACTATATTCCCCTATTAGCTTCCCACCTCTGTTGCTTCCTAGGCACAAGGCTAGACAGGAGTCAGAAACAGAACATCAGTAACAGAAACGAGAAGCTGGAAGTAGGACGAATGTTGGGAAAACTGGAGCTATTGCTAAATCCTGTTGACTTTTGATACATGTAACAGCTCACTTGGAAGTCAAACTGTTTAATGGATGTTTAAGGATGCCTTCTTAGTGTGATGTTTTTCAGATTATGTATTTTGTTTAGTCAATGCCTGTGATGCTTGTGCCAGTATTTGGTTTCTTAAAAACATTTCTAGTACCTTACAGACTGTCATTGAACGTGCAATACTCCATGAAGCAAATGTGCTTTAGGGAGCTATTTTTTCTTGTCATTTGCCTTGTCTTCAAGGAATTACATTTGGGGAGTGTAATGCAGATCAGAGGCCCAGCCACTTGTGTTTATGTAGAAGGGAACAGCTAACAATTCTTTATCATTCCATAAACTGTGCATTCAACAATGCTTACAGTACTAGCTTTTATAAGCTTTTGGAGGGTTAAAAAAAAATGAAAATTTAATTTTGAAGAGAGACAATAAAATCCTGTCTGGGGACTGTGTTCCTATAGATGTCCAATGCAAAAGTATCCCTTGGTTGTGCTTTAAAGAGAAATTAGGCTTGGCCATTTGTATGTAGTATGGTTTCAGGCTGTGATGCAAAGTTTTCTTCTATCTTTTCTTCCCTCAACCTTAAAGCACCATTGATCACCCTGATATTTCTGTCATGCCATCAAACAGAGTTTCATGCTCCTATCTCCTGTTTAAAATAAATAGCTTGCATTTCAGTCAAGGTATAGATTTTTTTTAAATATGTGCAGTGTTGATTTAGGGTTTTCTAAGCTGAGAGAAATATAGTACCTGCTCTGTTTGATTGCTTCCACCCTGTATTTATTGTTGAACATTCCATTTATTTGTTTATGGCGAGAGTTTGCAAGGATGTGAAGGAGCATGGCTGTGCTTGTATGCAGGTCAAGGTCTTATTCCACCCTATTCAACTGAACTATTTCCTCTCACTGGAGGCTCCTATTGCTATGAATGCTAGTCATTTAATTGGCAGTTACAGCCAAATGTTAGTATTAACTAAACTATTGGAATTCTTGGTTGTTAAAACTGAGTTTGAAATTTTTCACATTTATTTGAATTCTCTGTGTTGTCTGAATCTGGCTAGAACAGTAAACTAAAAAGAGACTTGCTTACAAATTTGCAGCTTTCCAGTGTTCTAACTCTCCTACAACCAAAGAAAAAAACCAGGGAGACAAGGTTGATACCTTTTTCAAAGTTTCTAGATATTTGATGTAGAGTTAAGTTTTTTAGCTAAAGCTTTTATTGCCATGCTCTGCTAACTAAAGGAAGGTTTGCAGTTTTAAAATTCAGGAGTATTATAATATTAGAGTTATATTGAGACAAATAAGACAAAGACCGTCTCTGACAAATCTAGGCATTCATTTTAAACACTTATTTGAAACACATTTTGTTTTTTAAGCAACATGAAGTACATAGAGACAAATAATGGCCACTTTTACTGATAAGATAATTTTATGTTGTCGTTTTTCATTTTCGCTTTAAAAAACTTTTGAGACAGTCATGATAGTTTCCTTAATACATCATTGTGATTACTTTCAATGAGGAGATTAGAGAAAACAGTAAAAGAAATGCAGCATGTTTAGGTTAAATATTTAATGCTTAAGAAATATTTGGTCTGTTAGTAGTGAAAAAACAGTATTGACCATAATTTTTATTCATGATGTATTGTTTTAATGTAGGAGATATGTTGATATATCAGTAGAGTAGGATTTATGACAAGACAGTAGGTAAAATGTTCTCTTTGCTATTTTGTTGCCAAACTTGACAATAGGCAAATATAAACTATCAAATATCAATCTAGGTGGTGATTTTTTCTCCCATAAAATCTAGAGTGTAGGTTGTTTGTGAGTCTGCTGATCTTGGAATTACTCCTTTAACTCAAGAGTAAAGAGATCCCCTCAAGGGTCTTGGGTTCAATGCAATAGATGGGCATGGAAATGAAAAATTTCTGAAGGCTCAAGGTGCTCAGGGAGAGCTTCCCTGGCAGTGTGGGCAGGGCTTGCGAACTCAGTGCAGGTAACTTTCAGTTAACAGATTTATGCAGACAATGATTAAATTGTCATGTGAGGAACAAGCCAAAAGTTCTGGGCTTAGCACAAGTAGCTGCTGTTTAAACTCAAGATCCATGTCAAGTACCTCAAAGACAAGAGCCTCCTAGGGGTATACTGATTGGCCTTCAGGGACCAGCAACTGTGTGTAACCAGCAATTGTTAGGTACTGTTTTCAGAGATAGTGGATAAGAGAGGGTTAGTGTTATTACAATGTTGAGGTGCAAAGCAGGTAAACCTCTTAATGTTTTCAGCACTTGACAAATACTGCTTTTACTGTCATAGGCTGTCAGGCTTTGTGAGCTGGGGCCAGTATCTGTTCCCTCAGCTACCCCAGCCTCCTCTTCCGGGGATGCTTTCTTCCAATACTTGTCTTTCCCAGCAGACTTAACAGGCATCAAGCTTGTGAGATGCATTGGCAATAAGGGGTACTAGTAGAAACATTTTGCAGTTTCGTAGTGTGTTAGGTAGGTCTGTCACTGTATGTGTTGTAATCTGTGAAAAGAATATATTTTGGGAATGATTTGCATTTTCTTGACACTGGTGATGCGTATGAATACTTATAGATGTAAATTAAAGAGAGTATTTTGCATTTAGAGAGAAAGAAGTAGGAACACTTGCTTTTGCAGATGATTTTAAACACATCCCCTTTCACTAAATATGAGGCTGTGTTCTGTGATGCAAGATGAACAATAATACCTTTCTTTGTAAACTCTCTTCTGTTTTATCTGACAAATTACCTTGCTAGTTATGGCAAATTGATCCTTATACTGACTTTTCCATATCATAACCCCTGTATCCTTCAGAAAGTTTGCTGCAGTCAGATATAACTGTAATTCCTCTGAACTGATGCTGGGTTTTTTAAGAAGTATTTGTGCCACTACTTTTTTTCCACCTCTCAAATTGACTGTGGTGTTATTAAAGAGGAATGAGATGGTTTGTAGGATTGGGTTACATGTGCTGAGAGATGATAACAGATTTGAAGTTTCAGATTTAAATATATCTCTTTTTTTCTTATCTTTTTTTAAGTAATGAAGAAAATGAAAGCACACTAATACTCTTGTAAACTTCTGTGAAATTTACTGTAATTTCAATTATTACAGTAACTAACTGCATTACATGCACTTTTTAAGTTAATAATGAAGTTGTTGGAAAAAATTTTAATTAACTTGTTTTGGTTATTGCTCATATTAAACATTTTTGCTAACCCATGAACAACTATGAACTTGAATACATAGCAGCTCTCATTGTTTCTGATTAGGTACAGTGACCAGTGCATGACTAAAGACTCTACGGTTAAGTGTATGCATATCTGTGTATACCGGAGCATCCACCTGTAGTCTCAGGTGGACAAGTAGTAGAGGCACCAGCTGAAACTGTTTCTGCTTAAGCTGTGATACTGTATTTATCATTTTCCATTGATTTGATTTATCTTTGAATTAGGTGAGACCTCAGTGAAAATCAGATTTTATATATGAATGTTCAAATTCCACTCAACACCAAGAAAAATTTTTAGTTAATCGAAAGAACTGTGTTCTGTTCTTAAATTTCCACCTCTTTTTTTTTTCCTTGTTTTTTTTTAGGGTTTTTTTGTTTTAATTTTATTTCTTTTTTTTTTAGTGAGTGACAGTTGCTTCAGGAACCTTGCCGAGGATCGTAGTGGGATAAACCTTAAAGATCTGGTCCAAGACCCTTCTTTGTGAGTATCTGGCTCTTATTGCTAAGCAAAGAAAAGCTTCTTCCTGATATCCTCGTGAGTAGTTTTGTAATTATATAAAGAAGTAGTATGATGAAGTACACATAGTGCTTTAGTGGTAATATGCTTGCCAAGTTGTTAGTCTTCAACACAGGCAAATATTATTAGTACCATCTTGTTTTTAATGTAATTCTGTTTATGAACTAACATGCAGATACCACATATGGTAAAGGGTGAAAAAGTCAGCAGAGATAGCAGATGGTGCATGCTGGTATTTCTATGGAGGAGTTGTATGCATATTGTTGCCCCTCTTTTTCTAAGGAGAAACTGCATATAAATTAGGAGATTACTGGGTAACTGTGTTATTGTCAGTTATCTTAACATGTAGAATCTGTTTTCTTTTTATCTGATTTCATAAAGCTGATTTTTATTTCTTCCTCTACTACCTGTTTTAATTCAAGTATATGAACAGATGATCTAAATTTTACTTCATGGAAAGATTATTGGTCTTTATCAGTGTTGTATCTTTCTTTAAAATAAAATCCAATCTCATGAACTCTGAGCCATACTTGAAATTGTAGCAGACCTTCTTTGTGGTTTGGTTTTGTGCTTGGTTGGGTTTTTTTTTGTTGCATTTTTTTTCTCTTCAGTTAACTTCAGTATTAGCTGAAAATACTCTTGCTAGTGTGAGTGTACCACTTGTTATAAGAGAAGGGAAAGAAGGGAAACAAATCACATATTTTTAAAATGAATGATAGTGCATTCCACAATGGGTTCTTATGTGATGGTACTTGATACTGACAGAGCAGATTTTTCAGTATTGATTGAGAAGTAGTGAAAAATAAGGTGTATTTGACATCTTTTTCAGTTACATGGGATTTTTAGAAATAAAGTAGATAGATAATTTGTTTTGTCATGTTGCTACAAGTAAATTTGTTGACAGTGTGAGATTTCTGTTGTTGTTTATTGGTTGGTTTTCTTGTTGGTTTTTTTCTTTTTTTTTTTTTTTTTTTTTTGGATTGTATGTTTTTTGGAGCTGCAGGTATGCTTATAGTTTTGGGTTTGCACCTCTAGAGTTTATTTTCAGAAAAGTTGGATTGCCTTCATTGTAATATGATCATTTTCCTTACTGTCTACCAAAAATGATGAAATCTCGTTTTCTTTTTTGACTGTAATTTACATGCTGAATAATGTAATAAATTGTTGTAACATTCAAAAGAGATTAATATAATTTCTGTTGCTTATAGCATAACAAGCATAAGTGACTGCAATGTAGCCATTTTTGTCACTTTGAAAGATGGAGTAAGTCTCAATACATCTCTTAGGTTTCAAGGACTGCTTATGATACTTTGTTGTATGACAGATTTTAGTGCAAGAAGTGTCCTTTCTGCCTAATGATAGGAATGTATAGGCTTGAGTTTGTCTTTCCAAACTGATATTCTTACAGGTTTATGACTGAGTGTCTCTTAAGAGTTCTTGCAAAATGTGTAATAGTGTGAGTGAATCTCCGAAATGGAGAAAAACAATCTTGCCTTTTGTAGGTGACTCTTGAGGTCCCATGAGGTCTGAATTCTTTGTTATACAAAGGACAGCATGGGGATGAAGCATGAGAGTGCCAGCCAAAGAGATGTTTTAACCTTTTTTTGAAATAAGAACAAAGGTTAATTAAAATCTCAAGAGTATTTCTTGACATGGAAATGCAGAGATTCTGCTTGCTGCTGTAGGGAGAAAATTCATGTGGCCAAAGCTCAGCTGGAGTTGAAGTTGCCAGAAATGTGAGGAACAACAAAAAGAGTTTTTTCAAATATATTAATGGCAATAGGCAGTATAGAAATATCATCAGCCCATTACAGGATGAGGATGGTCACCTCACAAACAGGGACAGAGACAAGGCAGAGGTGTTTTATATTTTCTTTGCCTCTGTGTTCAATACGGATGAAGGACCAAGGGGGTCTCAGTGCCCTGAGCTGGAGGACCATGACTGTGAGAATGATCAACTCTCAGTCGAACCTGAAATTGTGCAGGATCTGCTGCTCCAACTGGATCCTTACAAATCTCTGCAGCCTGATGGGATTCATCTCAGAATCCTCAAAGATCTGCTGATGTCATTGCAAAACCTCTCTTGATGATTTTTGAGCAGTCTTGGGAATCTTGAGAGGTTTCAGTCAACTGGAAGCGGGTGGATGTTGTCCTGATTTTCAAGAAGGACAAGAAGGAGAACCCTGGAAACTACAGGCCTGTCAGTCTTACTTCAGTGCACAGTAAATTATGGAGAAGATTATTCTGGGAGGTGTTGAAAAACACCTGCAAGACAACACAGTTGCCAGTCAGAGGTAGCACAGCTTCAAGAGAGCAAAGTCCTCCTTATCCAAGCTAATTTCCTTCTATGACAAGGTAACCCACCTAGTTGATCAAGGGATGCCAGTTGACGTAATCTTTCTGGATTTCAGTAAAGCTTTCGGTACTGTCTCTTGCAGGATCCTTCTGGATAAACTGTCCAAACCACAGTTGGATAAACACATCATGAGCTGGGTGAGCAATTGGCTCACGGGTTGAACACAGAGGGCAATAGTGAATGGGGCGACATCAGACTGGTGACCTGTCACTAGTGGGGTTCCACAGGGCTCCCTCTTAGGGTCTGTGCTCTCCAACATCTTTATAAATGGCTTGGACACAGGACTGGAAGGGATACTAAGCAAGTTTGCAGATGACACAAAACTGAGAGGAGCTGTTGACTCCCTTGAAGGCAGGGAGCCCCCACAGAGACCTCAGCAAATTAGAGGACTGGGCAAACACCAACCATATGAAGTTCAACAACAGGAAAGTTCTGGATTCTGCACCTGGGATGGGGCAACCCTGGATGTGTATACAGACCAGGGAATGAAATGCTGGAAAGCAGTACCACAGAAAGGAACCTGGGGTCCTGATTGACGGCAGGTTGAACATGAGTCAGCAGTGCCCTGGCAGCCAGGAGGGCCAACTGTGTCCGAGGGGGCATCAGACAAAGCATCACCAGCTAGTCAAGGGGGATGACTGTCCAGGTCTGCTCTGCACTGGTGTGGCCTCACCTTGAATATTGTGTGCAGTTTTGGGCACCACAATATAAGGAAGATATTAAGCTCTTACAGAGTGTCCAAAGGAAGGCAATGAAGGTGGGGAACGGCCTTGAGGGGAAACCGTAGGAGAAGTGGCTGAGGTCACTTGGTCTCTTCAGCCTGGAGGAGACTGAGGGGAGACCTCATTGCAGTCTGCAACTTCCTTGTGAAGGAACGAGGAGGGGCAGGCAGTGATCTCTTCTCTGTGGTGACCAGTGACAGGACCTGAGGGAACGGTCTGAAGTTGTGTCAGGAGGTTTGAGTTGGATATTAGACAGAGGGTGGTTGGGCACTGGAACAGGCTCCCCAGGGAAGTGGTCACAGCACCAAGCTTGACAGAGTTCAAGAAACATTTGGATGGTACACTCAGGCACATGGTGTGACTCTTGGGGATGGGCCTGTGCAGAGCTAAAGGTTGGATTCAATGATCCTTGTGGGTCCCTTCTAACTCAGCATATTCTGTGGTTCTGTGAAGATTGTTGCCTGTAATAATACCTGAAATAGCAAAATAACATTTGATTCATCCTCTTACCAGTTTAATATTTAAAGTTTAGGATTTCTTTGTTGCTTGTTTGAGTGTAGATGAACTGCCTCTTTTCTTTGTAATCTAATATCAGATACAAACATTAGATTTACATTAAAAAAATCTAGTGTTTTCTCTGCAAAATGCTCTCTCCATTGTTTACCACTCTTGGCTCTGTCACAGACAACTTCTCTCTTGTTATTGCAGAAGGCTTTTTTTTGGAGGGCTGAAAGTGTGTCTTTACATTGAAATGAAACTTTATAAAATTGATAGCTTTGTAGGGTTTTTTGATTAATGTCTGATTTATATCAAGTATGCCTAATTGTCAGAGTAGTCTTTTTTCCCCAGCTGATTTCCCAGATGGAGCTGTCTGTAAACTTGATCTGCTTTCAGTTCTCTCATCGTTACTAATAAAAGCTCTGCTGCTCAAATCAGAAGTTTGATCATCTATACTTGTATGTGTTTTACTCTGTAAATAAAAATGGAAATGCTGCTTAAGGAAAAAACCCCAAAACACCAAGCATAACAAATAAAGCTGAAGTGAGGAGTTATAGACTGTGAGAGAAGGAAATATGCAGCAACTTCAAAATTAAATTTCATTTTGTGGTTAATTACAGAAAAATTTAATTTCTGTGAAAAGTTGATTGGAGGTTCAGCTGTAAAGATGGTTTGTGAGTTAAGTGTTGTTCTGTATTCATTTCAGCTAATCATAGAATAGTTAGATTGGGAAAGGTCCTTTAAAGGTCCTCTAGTCCAACCCTTCTGCAGTGAGCAGGGATGTCTTCAACTACCTCAGGTTCTCCAGAACCCAGTGATGTGTTTGCTACATTGCAGTGTGACACAAAACTTAAAGACCCAGAGGTGTGTAGGAGAACAGCAAGAGGAGAAAGCAGTTAGAAAGTGCAATGCATGACAGGTGTTAATTAATTTAGGAAACAGGAGCAGAAGAGAGGGGAAGTACAAGTCGTCTACAGTATAAAACAGATGAAGGGGTTTGTTCTTTTTGACTGATGAGAAAGAATTGATTCAATTTATGGCAGACAAGATTGACTGGATAGTTTGAAAATATTCTAAATGTCAGTGTAGTGAAGAAACTGGAATCTATATCTAAGAATGTCTGGGAGAGCTCTGCAGATTACAGTCTACATATTTGATCCTGCCTAGATGTTTCACTGTGTAAGTGAAGAGAGATGACAGGGCAAACCTTTTTTTCTTATTTTCTCTCTCCTTTTTTTCTCTTTCCTTTTCTTCTTTGAAAATATATGCATTCTGGTTTGGCATCCATGTGATGAATATGACCAAAAACCAGATGGAATTTACTTGTATTCCTATAAAGGTAACGTTAATGTGGTTATGAATATTCAAATCCTATTATTTGCTATAAT